GCATAGATCCAGGTGTTGGGCAGCAGCTGCAATAGCACGGGAGTTAGCCTTCAGTCCCGCGAGACACCGAGGTAGCCTTGCAGGCGTCCGCAGGCCCGGCGTCTCTTCTATCTTTATTCCAGTCTGTTAGCTCATGTATTTCGAGACAAACAGTTATACTTTCTTTCATACGGTTATATTTAGCACTCTTAGTTGTTCGTGAGTATTGTGACACCAGTCTTGGGTAGAGGCTTTTGTTGAATCTTCCGCATTTCTATTCAGTTTTCTATAATATTAAGACTTCCGCTTATTATTTAATTTTGTTGCTTTTGTATTATTGCCGATAATTGTTAAAAGGGATTATGTTATTAATGCAAAAGTAATTAAATTTGGCTTGCCTAGCTCTGATTAGTAGATGCCATCACGACTCCCGAGGGTGGAAAATCCGGGTCGTGACACGCCCTCTCTTCCGCAGGTGCGGTCTCGCTTCTGCGGCGGGATGACCGCATCTGCGGTCCCAGCACTCCTAGCTGGATCGCATCTGCGACCTCGTGGCCGCTTCTGCGGTGCCACACCTGCGGCCAAAACCTCGCAGGTGCGGTTACACCAGAAGCCCAGCTGCTTCAGCCCTTTTTCAAACTCCATTTTAAATCCGTTAATCACCCGGAATCCACCCGAAGCCCCCGGGACCTCGTCCAATCACACCAACCAGTCCCATAGCATAACGCGGACCTGCTCGAGGCCTCAAATCACATCAAACAACGCTAAAATCACAATTCACACCCCCATTTCAAACTTGATGAACTTTAGAACGCCGAATTTCTTCATTCGATGCCGAAACCTATCAAATCACCTCCGATTGACTTCAAATTTTGCACACAAGTTATATTCAACATTACGGACCTACTCCAACTTCCGGAATCGGTATCCGACACCGATATCAAAAAGTCCAATTCCGATCAAACTTCTCAAAAACCTTCAAATTTCTAACTTTAGCCAAATGACTCCAAAATGACCTACGGACCTCCAAATTCACTTCCGATCGCGCTCCCAATTCCAGAATCACCATTCGGAGCTATTCCCAGACTTGAAATCCCAAACGAACATCGATAACACTGAAAGGCACTTTAACCCAAACTTATGAAATTTTTCCAAATATGCTAACTTCCACAATAGGCGCCGAAACGCTCGCGGGTCATCCGAAACCCGATCCGGATATACGCCCAAGTCCAAAATCATCATATGAACTTGCTGGAACCTTTAAATCCCGATTCCGAGGTCGTTTACTCAAAAATCCAGTCTTAGACAATCCTGCCAACTTAAAGCTTTCGAAATGAGAATTTTCTTTCCAAATAAATTCCAAACTTCCCGATATTCAATTTCGACCATGTGTACAAATCATAATACCTGAAGTGAAGCTTGTTTCACCAAAGAAATAATATTTTGGATAAAACTAGAATTTGAGATGAAAAATCGGGTTACTGATAATCAAGAGACCAAAATAATAATAGGCTTTCTGAGAATAATAATAAAGCAGTAAATAAAATTTTTTTATTCAGTATGATGTAAATGATGTCCTTTTCCCAATACAACTTCCTCCTTTTATAGTTGATTCTAGGTAAAGGAATAAAAGCTAAGCTTTAATGAGACAATTATGGACAATAAATGACATTAAATGAGCCGTTACACAATCATTCCTATTAAATACCAATTTTCTAACGTATCAGGTATTTAATACTGAATTTGAACTCCTTTTTGTCTTCAGATTCATGTCTTCAATGCCTTTCGACCCACTGGCCTTAAATGACTTCGAATTGGTACGAGACTCGTGTCTAAACTGCTTCTCGTGCCTATTTCACTTCTTCTTCCCGTACCTGTCGTTTCCCGTACCTTTTTCCCAATTGTTACGCTTTGACCACTTGTCCAGTCCACGTGTCACGCCACGTCATCTTCAATATAAATTCAACTTTTTTCCCAATACAGATAGTCTCCACTTTCTATTTATTTATCAATTAAATAATTGGGAAGTGGACCTTCGTAAAAAAGGAATTTTTGCCATAATCAATGCGTATGACAATATTGTCGTCTCAATTGTCTTTTCCATTTAATGTTTTGTCCATGCGTCACCTTTTGATTGATTCTGCCATTTTGCACCCTTTTTCAAAGCTTCGTTAATCCCACTATTCACGAAGTGATAGTTGCCTTTATTATAGGCTTTCCATCATTACTCTTCTAAGTTTGACGGTTGCCATCATATACATACTTAACCTTTTCTTCCTTTGTCCTCTTCTCCATAAATCTTTAGCAAACGTTTTTCTTCCTTACTTTTGCTCTCCTTCGATTCATCTTTGCTCAACAATGGCGTCTCCAAACCCTAACCCTAAAAGAGTTCCGATTTTAGACAAATTCCCCAATGCTCCTGTTAGACATAGAAGAGACAGAGGAGGCAGACTTCGTACAGGGTTAGAATCTACTCGAGGCGGCTCTTCTGGTTCTTCTTCTAGGAGTTCTATTCTGAAAACTCCTTCTTCTAAAGGTAAAGAAATTCCTGATTCTTCTAGAGAACCTTTAGTTGATGAAATCGTACCAAATGATTTATCTTTTGTAAGTGATAGACAATCTCTTCAAAAGCAAGTTGCTGGTTTAGAAAAAACTGATACTTATCCTACATTAGTGACCGAACTTACAATCCCTACCATCAGAGGAGATTGTAACTGGAAAAATAGTCTTCGAATGTCAATTCCTTCCATAAATCAAAGAATTTCTTCTTTTAGGATTAGGTACTCTTTTGTTTATACTTACCCTTTTACTTTGGGTTTTAATCCCCCAATTGACCCAATCATCCTCGATTTTTGTCGTTTCTTTAATATTTGTTTGGCCCAAGTTGGTCCTTTAATATGGAGAGCAGTGGCTTGTTTGAGATATCTTTCTACCAAAGCCACTGTTGATTTCACCTTTTCTCACCTTATCCATTTATACCATCCTAATTTAATACGTCATGGAGTTTTTACCTTAACTGCGAGAAGCAAGAAGGTTTTGGTAAGCACAGAAGATGACAATGACCGTGGATGGTATGCCCGTTACGTTGCTGTNTCTCTCTCTCTCTCTCTCTCTCTCTCTCTCTCTCTCTCTCTCTCTCTCTCTCTCTCTCTCTCTCTCTCTCTCTCTCTCTCTCTCTGTGTATCGCACCTCAAACAAAATTCTATGCCTATTTTAGCTATCATAACAAATTTAACAGTTTCTGAACTCTTCAAAAAGAGGGGTTTCAGCTAATTACAGTTTCATGACTTATGAAGCAAATGGTTAGTTCAAGTTAAATTTCAAAATAACTTTTGCCCAATATGGTACGTCAATTCTTTAAATTTGCAAAAAAAAGAGAGAATAAACCTGACACAAAGGCATTTTTTCACTTCAAAATATTGCAAGAAAGAAACCATAACTATCAGACATCACACTCAAAGAACAGGCCAACAACATCCTCATTGCTGCACTGAAGCTTTAACAGTCACTGTGACAAATTAATCATACAAGAACATATCAACATTGCACCCAAAGGACTACAAGTAACAACCCCAGCTTCCTGTTTCAGCTTGCCAGTTGCGTAAATAAATATGAGGAACAAAATTTTAGGGAATTCAGTTATTGCTCTCTTAAGTACCATTTTTATGATACAACAAGCAGGAAAATAACTATAGTTCCAACTGAATGCTAGATATCTATAACTATATTTCCAACTGAATGGTAGATATCTCATGCAAGAATGATATATCAACAATTCACAGTTACAAAACATTTGTTACAAACAAAGACACAGGTTCTTTAAGCTGCAATTACTAATAGCATGTACTGTAATAATGTGAAAACTTTTACAGCATCCCGACACCTTTGCTGAAATACTAGATGCGGGTTTGGACAATTAGGAGATAAGAGCATTCTCCTCCAATAAAAGACATCAGAATAATTGTTATAATAGAGACAATCATAGTGATAACACTAGTAGAACAAATATACAGTATTAGAAACACAAACAGCAACGAAGATAATAAGAAAGAGAATTGTAATAGTTTGTTAGTGGATTGGCATTCCATTGGGGTTAAGTAAGAAATGTTCAAGTTCCTGAAAAAGGTGCACAGCTATCCTGAACAGCAAGCAATATGTAACGACTTGGACCAACTAAAATGATCCAAGAGTGACCCAAGGGTGTGGCCTAGTGGTCAATGAAGTGGGTGAGAACCATGAGGCCTCAGGCTCAAATCCCAGCGGAGGCAAAAACACTAGGTGATTTCTTCCCATCTGTCTAACCTTTGGTGGACAGAGTTACATGGTACCTGTTGTTCATGGGAGGTGGCATGTATCCCATGGAATTAGTCGAGGTGCGTGCAAGCTGGCCCGGACACCACGGTTATCAAAAAAATGATCCAAGAGTGCAAAAAAGTTCTGAGCAGCAAGCAAATGTAATGGCTTGGACCAACTTAAATCATCCAAAAGCAGTATTGACCTCATAAAGATTCTTTAGTTTTTATGGAGAATAAAATGAAATGGACATTTTTGACATTTTTCTACCAGCACTTGATGTCGCCATGAATGACAATGTTACTAGGTAAAACGGATAAGAGCAGAAGTTCATTCGCAAATCACCACATTTCTCCCAGTAGGCAAAATCAAACTAATGTACTACTAAGTTAAGACCAGTAACAGAAATATTGTGGACTAGTACTTCGTTTGATGGATATCTTACACAATCCTGAAGACACTAATGCAACTCAGCCCAGGCTTACACTAGTAACAGATACTCCAAATTCCACGACTTCGAAAACTTAAAAAGCTTTCAGCATCAAGCAGCATTAGCATAAGAATGTTTTGCTACTTATAGTGACTAAGGTATAGGGTATGGATATATTTCTTCGCGGTGTGTTTTTTTATTCTAGCATCGATAAACTATCTTATTCAAGTCACTTGCAAGTTAAAAATTAACAGAAAACATCAACATCATAAAGACCAAATTACACTCTGCTATAGACCTGGTAGAAGCACAATATACAAGATTCCGGTTCTGCAAAACTCCATCCACTTGAAGACAATCAACCTGCAGGATGCAGAATGAATTTCCATTAGACTGTCACTACAAAGAACAACTTGTTCATACTCCAACTGATAACAAATCTGACCCCTTTTAGAAGCCTCAACCTCTAAAGCATTGAATACCCTCGAGCAGTATTCATCACAAAAATTAGTAGACACCGGGGATTGGGGAGTAGAAGTAAGCCAGAACCAAGCTTCTATGAACCAAGCAAAATGAGAACTATAGAAAACCAGATGCTAGTCTAACACAAGCAAATTGCAAGAGGGCATAGGTGGAAATACATTTGGCTGAGGATGAGTAATTGCATCACCCCCACCCCAAATTAGTGTTGCCAAAGGTGAGAACTTTAGAAAGTACCTAAGGTTTACTGGAGCTTTAAATGCATAGAGCATTAAAGTGCACGTTTACATGAATATATGCATGAATTAATTTAAATAAAAATATATACATATATATGTAATGCAAGAAAAAAGGAAACTGCATACAACTATATGGACAAAGAAATTGATAAAACTACAATTAAGCAAGAGATATGAAATAAAAATCATGGCATGTAAGTTCGAAAACCATCTATTCATTTCATCCATAGTATTCAATGTGCGATCCAAACTCATTATTTGGCATCGCCTTGTCAAAACAGGCCCTGGACGATGCATATGTCTTAGTATCTCGGTGCCTAAACCGAAGCGCCACTTAAGCGAGGCGAAGTGTCCATCCTCTCCTGAGTGTGTAGTTTTTGATCTCTTTATATGGTCTTGGACAGTCCTCACTGCTTGAACTAGCTTTTGGGGTTGAGTTGGGCCCAATATCCACTTTCTTCACATTCAGAGAAATTTCTTTCTAAAAAAAATGGCATTATATGACTAACTATTTATAACAGTATTATAGTTATTTATTTTATCAAAAATAAAGGTTACAACTTATAGATTTATAACTTCAATTACTCTTGACTCATTATAATTCGACCCACTAATATTTCTAATTGCAAGAGATGCAATATATCAGTTCACAATTGCATACTTCCTAAAGTAGAACTATCTAATCACAATGATACCTATTGATTAATATCATATTTGCATTCTCAAACGTATCAAAGAAATCCATTAAACTAGCTATATAAGGGTGAGCAAATGGGTAGGGCAAGCCAAGAACCTACTTCAACAACCAAAATGGTATATCAACATTTGGTCCCACAAGTAATAAGTTACAGTCTGGGTCCAAAAGTATTAGAAACAGTGCTAATAGGTAGGATCTAGCCACCTAGATCATCAAAGCTAGAACTGACAAACTGATCGGCGAAAAAAATCCTACTTTTTAGACCCAGAAATCTGGTAGAAATTCTTAGGGAGTAATTAGGAAAAGAAATACTGACCTAAAATCTGTATAGTGAATGGAACAACAACAGATTGATTCTTAAGTATTTAATACTAAATTTACACAGGATACTTTAAAAAAATCTACTTCTGCCCGTTTGGGTAGCTGAATTTAAGTAGCTTTTAAGCATCAAATGCTCAAAACCACCTTTTTAAGAGCTAGAGTTGAATTTATAAATAAGTAGTTATGTGTCTGCATAGAAGTACTGAAGTTGGAAAGTTGCAGTTGATGTGTTTGATAGAAAAATGCTGAAACAGTTAAAATGACTGAAATGCCTTAGAGCAGTTAACACAAAAAAACTTATCTTGCAGCATATTTCATTCTAAAATAATTCAAAAAAATAAAAAATTAGCTTACGTCTTAATTTTAATTATAAATTAATTGGATCTAATTATTTTAATAAATGTAAACTAGTTATTTAAATTAAATAGAATACTAATTACTAATAATTTGACCAAAGCGGAAGCCGTAATAACGTGAAACCTATTGAACAAAATAATATGAATCATGAAGCGGCAACCACCTATTTTTACACTGCACAGTGGCAAGGCAACTTTGGAGCTTGTTTTTTACCTGTTTGAATTGTCTTTTCTTATGCCTAACACTACAAAGGAACTGCTGACTCGTTGGGGCAATCAGGACATGAAATCCACTGAGAAGTTTGTGGAACATGGTGCCAGCTTGTGTTTGTTGGGTGTTGTGGGGTGAAAGGAATTCCAGGTGCTTCAATGGGAAGTAAGTCACTGTACACATGCTAAATACAAATTTCTACGGATTTTGCTTTTTTGATGCAACATACAAGAATTAAAGGATGATGCCGGCATGTTATAATTTATTAGTTCTCTCAATGTCTAGGGTTTAGAACAGTTGGGAACCTCTCTTTTTGTTTTATATAAGGGGTTCCCCGATTTTGTACATACACCTGCAAGCACCTTCTTAGTGCTCTGCTGTTATTTTAATAATACACTTACTTACCTTTTCAAAAAATAATATGAATCATGAAGTGATAGTCAAATCTTTTTCTCTTGAACTATCTGATCAAGCTATTTAAGAGGGAAATTATTTTTCCTTTTAAATGATTTAATATGTTAAAACCACCCCATAGTGAGTTTGAAGGGTTTTTATGTCCCATTGGAAAGGAAAAAAGTAAAATTTAAACGGAATTCTTCGAATTAGTGAAACTTAGATTCTTTAACCAACTTTTCAATCTCGTCATGGGTATGCCTGGGCAGGACTTTTACTGATTTGAGGGATGGTGGAGCAGTGTATGCAATGCAACATAGTATCGAAGAAGGGAAAAAACGAAATTAGTGTTAGGGTTTTTAGAGATGGGAAGGTAATTTGGGGATTATATAAGGGATAGTAAGGTAAATTACTGGGCCAAACCTAAATAGCTTTTAAGCTAAAAAGCCATAAGTTGGGAGTGACCAACTTATGACTTTTCCGTTGTTTTGGCTTTTAAGCACTTTAGGTGTTTGCCAAACACCAAAACAAATATCCTCCTATCTGGAGCACCTAAAATTCAGTTATCTACTCTTTGTTCACTCCTGATCGTAGTAATAAAGATTCATTGCATAATCAATGCAAATGGTAAACCAGTCAATAATTCCAGGTCTATCAAATATAAAGCTTCTTAAGCCTCACAATCTCAATAAAAGATTCAGCTAAAGATAAACAGCATACCTGCCATGAGTACAATTTCGAAATACCCTTTTTCATGTAAATGCTGCATATTTCAGTCGGTAGCCAATGGTTGAGATCTAAGTGATTCTTTATTGGTGCAATACTTGAAGGAGTGTTGTCTTTACTTGGTAAGGAATTAGCTGCAGAAATGTTAAGTTTCTCCGGAGGTGTCGTTGATGCCATTATATCGGTATCCTGGATAAGCACATCCTTGTTACCCTTAGAAACAGGACATTCTGGAGTCATGTTTTGTACTTCAAGGATATTGCCTTTTGCTTGAGCTGCCTTGCGAGGGCTGAAAACAGGAGAGCTGCTTAAACTTACATTATCTTGGGACCCAGTTTTTTTGCCACTAATAATCTGGATGTCTGTGTTATTTCTGAGAGATTGTACAACATCGAAATTTTTTTCGTCAGAGGCAAAATCAAAATGCTTAACAGGCATCGGGGACTTCTCTCCATCCAGATCCTTCCTCAACTTGCTCTGTGAACCAACAGCAGAAACAACGCCAGCATCAGAAACTGTCTCTATACAATCATTAAATATTTTGTTGGACTTATTGCCACACTCTCCATCTCCAAGACAATTGGAATTTATTATCTCGTTATGACTCTTCAAAGCGTCAGACTGTTGTGCTGTTTGAAAAGAAAATTTATCACTTCCAGCAAACAAACCATCAGCAACCTGAATTGCTTCATTCCAAAATGTTTCTCCGGGTGAAAATATGGAGCTACCACGACTTGACTTGGGAGTATCATCAACACGAAGCTTCGTAGATGTTGAACCGGGTGTCTCAGATTCAGTTGGCCCAATGACACGCACATTGGTACATTTTCTCAAGCTTATCTGAGCTTCCACTGATGTATTCCCCGCGGCTACCTAGCATAAGATGCAAATTCTCACTGAGGTTGTCAAAAAACCGGTGAATCAATATTGTGGTAGTATGAAAAAATATAACACCTACCCCAATAGAATTTAAAGCTGCATCGTCAGAATTGGTTTTTCTGTTTATATTAGACTCGTTTTCACTCGAGATGCAGCGGATTCTCTTTGCATGCTTATTATCCACATCAAGAATGGAAGGACTACCGCTTCTTTTACTAGCACCCTCACTCTGGGCTGAAGGTAAACTTGAACTAGCTGGCAGTTCACTGAATACACAAAAACATGGATTACTAAGCAAAACAACATTCAAACAAATCCAGCTCAGTAACCAAATTAGCCACTAAACCAATCACCACCGACAAATCAAGAACAAAAGGTATTACCTGCAATATAATGACAAGAAGTTGGTAGCAAACTGCTTAAGTTCTGAGTTTTTGGTAACCTGAGCAGTAACCAAGACATCTTCTCCATGACCTCTATTTTCAACAACACGTGAGTCAGGGGAAATAACAGACATCTCCTTTGAAGTTTTTGTTTCAAAAGTTGTTGAACGTGCTTTGACCACAGAAGTACCCTCTTTATTTTCATCTTTTAGATATGAACCAATCTCTAACGTCAGATTTCTCTTAACTGGTGTGCCTCTAGCTTTGCGCAAAGGTTTACTATCATCATCCTGAGAAGTCACTAAATACCCATCCAATGAACCTTTCGTGCTAGGAGACCCCTCAAGTGAAATCTTAACATCTTTCTTCGCTCTTGCGGGTTTCAGACTCGGTGATAAAGACTTCCTCTTCTTTTTCGAAGCAAAGAACTAATAATAACAATAGTCAACACAACAACCAACACCACAATTAACCAAATATTAGAAAATAATATCCAAAATCAATAAAGCAAGCTAATAAAGTAAAAGAGAAATAAAGGAAGATAAAATTGCCCCCATCATGGGGAAGTTATGCATGATAAATTTTTTAACCAAAACTACTACAACTGCTCAATTAAGAGAAATTTTCTACAGCTGCTTAATTGGCAATAATATACAGTTTTTTGACCTTCTCTTCTCTTTACTATACGGCAAAAAAAACACAACTAAATGTTTTCTAAATTCGAACCAATTAGCATTGTGGGGTTCTTATATCATAAAAAACTGTAATAATAGAAAAAACTAGGAGGTGATAGGCCACTCGTAAAGTTAAGGTGAGTAAATGGCTTGTCCAGACAAATTTAGGGAGCAATTTATATATTTTCCATTAGCTATAGATGTGGTGAGAGTATCACAGGGTGTGAATTCGATTGCCACTATGTTTTTCCTTCCCCCATCCCATGTAATGGAAATGAAAAGCTTATTAGATATGTGGAATTCCTAGGCACCTGCATCTGATGCCCAAAGCATTATATGGACCATATACTCAGTATGGTGAACATCAATTTTTCTTTTCTTTTTCTCTCTTCAACACTCCATTCTTATCGAGACAGGAAAAACCAACACACTATTGCTTGAAATTGCGATATCTCTATACCTATCCTCCGAAGACAACTACATCAAAGCAGGATAATAAAAGGAAAAGAGAAATAAAGGAAGATAAAACTGCCCCCATCATGTGGAAGTGATGCAAGATAGTTTTTTTATGCAAATCTACCACAGCTGCTCAAGCGGGAATCTTATAATATTACTAATTGTTACTCTAAATTAATCAATTGCTTTTCCGGAGACATTTCAAGTGAAATTTCAGCATCTTCCTTGACTCGTCTGAATTTCAAACTCAGAAATAGACAGTCAACACGTCATTATGAGAAAATGAAAACAAAAATATTCAAGAAACCCAAAGAATAACTAAAAAAGGCAAGAAAAAATCGCCCTATCGTGTGAAAATTGATGCAAGACAAGATATTCAGTAAGAAATTTCCTATAGCTGTTTAATTGGCAATAATATACAAGTTAAAAAACAGCACAATTATATGTTATCTAATTTCGAATCAATATCACTTTGGGGTTCCTATAATCATTAAAAAAGTGGAACAATAGAAAAAAACTAGGGTTTTTTAGGAGGAGAAACAGTGAAAGCGAAAAGGTACTAACTTGATCAATGCGTGCACGAGGGGTATCAGAATCCATGAGAAGAAGAAACCCGATAGCAGATTTGGTGAATGGGTTCAGAAAATTGTCTTGGCGTTCATGGGATTTTGAAATCAGAATTTATTGTTGTGGCAATGGAGCAGTGTCAAGAAGCCATTTGAATCTTTCAAGACCGCGCAATCTTGATGTTCAAATGTTGAGAATTGTTTTGCAATTATGCCCTTGTATTATAGAATATTCCGAATTTTATGCCCGCAAAATTGCTGCAATTATGTGTTTTGTCTCTCTCAAACTATACTAGTACGTTTTTTGATTGGAAACTAGTGAAAGGAAAAGAAAGGAAGAAAAACTATAAAATTTTCGTCTCCCTAGCTAGTTGCTTAGATGGGGTAAGAGAATGAGTGTTCTTGGTCCTACTAATTTATGGAATGTTTCACATGATTTTATTTCTCCTTAATTGATAAACAAAATAAAGAGGAAGATTTTCTCTCACAATTCTCCTCTATTTCTTTTATGTTACATCTTGTTTTGAGATGTTATAGGAAATCCCTCTTAAATGATGCTATTATATTTTGATGCTTTGAATTTTGTAGTCTTAGAAAAATTTATTGCTGATTTTGTCTTGCGCAAACAAACAATGTTACAAAAAATTTATTAATTTATATTCTGTTTCTCAATTTTTTCAGTTTGATTTAAGAAAAAATAATAAAGTGAATTATGCGATTAAATTAATAAACCTGATGAAGCTCGAGGATCAGATCAACTGGAGCTGGAAGAAGAAGAAGAAGAGCGAGAATGTTCTAGAATGAAGAACTCATTGGAGAGCACGTGAGCGGAGAAAATGATTGTGTATTCCACTATCAAAACTGAATACAAAGCATACAAGTCTTACATATATACACATCATATGACAGTTGTACTAACTACTCTAACATCCACCATTAACTCCTCTAACCACCAATCATAAAATTAGCTATAACTAACCTTCAGCTAACTACACTAATTCACGTGGCTGTCACGTGCCACTCATCTCCTTAATACTCCCTCTCAAGCTAGGTGGTGCAAATAGGTTAAGCACTCCTAGCTTGTTCATCAGGTACTCATGTTGTGGTCTTCCAAGTGCCTTGGTGAATAGATCTGCTTCTTGGTCTTTAGACATCACAAACTTGGTTTTGACAATCCCTTGTTGAATCCTCTCTCTAATGAAGTGCAAATCTATCTCTATGTGCTTTGTACGCTCGTGAAATATGGGGTTTGCACCAATTTGAATTGCTGTTTTGCTGTCACAATGCAATTCCACTGGCAACTCAACTTCAGCTCACAGCTCTCTGCAAAGTCCTGTTAACCATGATATTTCTGCAATTCCTGCTGCCATGCTCCTGTACTCTGCCTCTGCAGAACTTCTTGAGATTGTGCACTGTTTCTTGGACTTCCATGACACTAAAGAGTTTTCCAATTTCATCACATATCCTGTCACTGATCTCCTGGTAACAGGACATGATGCCCAATCAGCATCACAAAATGCTGTCAATTTAGATGACTGTGTGGAACTCATCAGCAGCCCCAACCCTGATGCTCCTTTAATATATCTCACAACCGTTATAGCAGCTTCTATGTGAGACTTCTTCGGACAGTGCATGAATTGGCTCAATACATGGACTGCATAGCATATATTTGGCCTAGTCATGGTAAGATACAATAATTTTCCCACTAATCTCTGATATGGCCCTGAGTCTACCAGCTCTTCATCATCTTTCAAGTTCAAATGTTGATCATATTCTACAGTAGTAAATCTCTGGTTGCATTCCATTGGTGTAGCCACAGGTTTTGAACCTGCCAATCCAAGGTCAGTGATCAACTCTATTGCAAATTTTCTTTGGTTCATCTTCCTTCCTTCGACCTTGCTAATTCAATCCCAAGGAAGAACTTCAACTCCCCTAGGTCCTTGATCCTGAAGTTACCTTGTAACATGGTCTTTGCCTCAGAAATCAAGCCTTGATCATTCCCAGTTATGAGGAGGTCATCTACATATACCAAGATTATGACTAATTTTGTTCCTTGCTTCTTTGTGAACAAAGAATAGTCAAAGTGACTCTGTGCAAAACCAGAATTTAGCAATGCCTCAGTTAATTTGAGGTTCCATTGTCTTGAAGCCTGTTTTAATCCATATAGGGATTTGTGCAGCCTACACACCTTCTCCCCCTAGCTGGGAAATCCCCGGGGTGGACACATATACACCTCTTCAGTGAGATCTCCTTGGAGAAATGCATTATAGACGTCCATTTGATGCAAATTCCAGTTGTTGGCTGCAGCCAAAGCTATAACTACCCTGACTGTCACCATCTTGACTACAGGAGAGAAAGTTTCCTGATAGTCTAGGCCTTCAATCTGATTGTAACCCTTGGCTACTAGGCGTGCCTTGTATCTTTCAACCTCTCCATTGGCTTTATACTTTATCTTGAATACCCACTTGCACCCAATAGGAGTCTTCCCTGCAGGCAAATCTACCATAGTCCAGGTCTTATTGTCCTTGAGTGCATTCAACTCCTGCTGTATATCATCAAGCCATTTAGGGTCTGATGCAGCCTCTTCATAAGACAGAGGCTCTCTAATACTGGTAATTTTGGACAAGTAGGACTGATATTTGACTGAGAAACCTGCATGAGTCAAGTAGTTATGCATTGGATACTTGCAAAACTGCTCTCCGTCTGGCCTTGTCAAAGAACCATTGCAGATATAATCTTATAGCCACACAGGCTCTTTAGTAGTTCTGGCTGACTTCCGTAAAGAAGGACCCACAAGAACAGGTAGATCCTGTTCTAAAGGAGATGGCTGCTGTGCTGGAATGTCTTCAGAAAATGTAGGAGATGGTGATGAGGGTTGTGTATCAACAGTGTGATTGTCTGCAACAGGTGGCATTGCTGGAGAAGATGCATCAGCATCATGTGTGGTAATCTGCATATGAATAGCATTAGTAGTAACTGGATGATGCAATACACCATTAGGAAAAAGTTGCAACTTCCCTTCCTTAAGTAGTTGAAATGGGAAAATATGCTCCATAAACTTGACATCCCTGCTTACAAAGAAAGAGTTAGTTAAAATATTGTGTAGTTTGTATCCCTTCTGGGATGAGGAATATCTCATCAGCACAGCTCCAACTGATCTTGCTGCAAATTTATCCTTTTCTCCCACAATCTTGGCAAAGCATAGACACCCTATAGCTCTCATGTGTTGTAAAGATGGTATTCTTCCATATAACATCTCAAAAGATGATTTTCCTGACAGCGCTGATAGAGGCAGCCTGTTTATGACATAAATGGCTGCCTGCACACACTCTCCCCAAAATTTAAGAGGCAAATAACCTTGCAATCTAATGGCCCTAGCTACTTCAAGTATGTGTCTTTGTTTTCTCTCCACTACCCCATTTTATTGTGGGGTGTGAACACATGAACTCTGATGAATCATTCCATGGGATTGAAACAAACTGTGGTATTCAGAGTTGAAAAATCCAGATCCATTATCACTTCTTATGACTTGCACAGTCACAGCAAATTGAGTCTTTGTTAAGGCTAAAAATTGTCTTAAGCATACAACCACATCACTTTTGAGCCTTAGTAAGTAAATCCATGTCATTCTGCTACAATCATCTACTATGGTAAGAAAAAATCTATGTCCACTATGAGTTTGTATTCTATATGGACCCCAAACATCTACATGAATCAATTGAAATGGTTTGTCTGATCTATTTGTACTCTTAGGGAATGGCAGTCTGCCTTGTCTGGCCAAAGGGCAGATTGTGCACTCCTTTATTTCATCATTGCCAGCTTTGAACTTCATGTTTGGAATTTGTCTCACTACTTTATCTGGAGCATGTCCAAGTCTTCCATGCCATACCTTTAAGTCCTCCTCCTGATCAGTAGATTTTTGAAGATGCACATTTGCAGCTCTGGCTTCAAGTTTCTGATGCTGCAAATTGTACAAACCTTCTAGTTCCTTACCAATCCCCTTCACCTTCCCACTGTGAAGGTCCTGCATTCTCCAGAAGTCAGGATAAAAGGATATAAAACATCTTAAATCCCTTGTGAGCTTGGACACAGACAAGAGATTATATTTGAAATTTGGAACATATAAAACATTCTTAACAACACTGTTTTCACCAATTCTACTTTCTCCAGTACATTCAACATCAAGTGAAGTTCCATCAGGTAAATATACCTTTGGTGCATTGCCTAGGATATCTGTGTTTATCTTGTCAAGTAGCTCTTTGGTGTGAACCATGTGATTGGTTGCACCAGAGTCTACTATCCAATTCTCATCCCTAACCCTTTCATTTGTAATAAAGGTCTTAGATGTACCTGCAAAGCTTGTATTTGCACCTGTTCCTGTTCCTGTATTGATCAGCTTTAATATTTGGTCATACTGCTCTTGAGTAAACATGATTGGCCTTCCTCCATGTGCTACATTTGCAGCACTTGTGTTGGTCACTTGTTGTGCTTTCTGTGTAGTTGTGTTGGTCTTCTGCTTTGTCATAGATTGTTGCTCCTCCTGTATGGTTGCATTGGCCATAGGTCTTTGAAGAAAACCTGTTGTCTTCTTCCTCAATTTGAAGTCAGCTGGGTAACCATGTAACTTGAAGCAAGTGTCTCTTGTGTGTCCTTTATAGTTGCAATAGTCACAGAATAAATTTCCTCTTCTAGGCTTGTAATTGTTTCCTGAATTCATGCCTTTATTGGTGAATAGTGTTGTTCCATCTCCAATATCTACAGACTGAGAGAACTTTCCCAAAGCTCTTTGGCTTTCTTCAGAAACTATCATGGAGTATGCTTTGTTAACTGTAGGAACAGGGATCATCATCTATATCTGACTCCTAGGTTGGTTGTATGTCTCATTTAGCCATGAGAAATTGCAGCAGTCTTTGGTACTCAAAATGTTCAAAATAGTTCTTAGATTCTGGGCATTCACAACCAGGACAAGGCATCAAGGCATCATATTCTTCCCAGAGATCTGTCAGCTTGGAGAAATATGCAGAGACTGAGGAAATTCCCTGCGATAAGGTTGCAATCTCCTTGTGCAGAAAGAAGATGCGAGATCCATCTACCTTATCATACTTATCCTTCAGATCAGTCCAGACTTTGTGTGCACTAGATTTGTACACAATTCCACTAAGTAATTCTGTGCTCACAACATTCATAATCCATGACAAAACTATCGCATTACACTTCTCCCAAAGTTCATGCAAGGATCGATCAAACTTATCCTTAGTATATCGTCCATCAACAAATCCTAGCTTACTCTTACCAATTAGACCTATTTTCATAGATCTACTCCACAATGCATAGTTTTCAGATCCAGTTAGTTGAATAGAGATCAAGGAACT